CCCCCCCCCCCCCCCCTCCCTGTCCAGGTCCCTCCAAGAGTTCTGGGTGAGCCGAGCGTCCGCCGAGCAGCGCAAAGGCCGGGCGGGGAGGACGGGGCCCGGGGTCTGCTTCCGCCTCTACGCCCGCAGCACGTTCGACCGCCTCCCTCCCTTCGCCGAGCCCGAGATCCGGCGCTGCCCTTTGGAGGGACTGGTCCTCCAGATGAAGAGCCTGGGTCTGGACGACCCTCGATTCTTCCCGTACCTGTCTCCCCCGCCACCGGAGAATCTCAGAGCCGCGCTCGGGTCGCTCGCCCTTCTCGGCGCCACGGACCCTGCCTCCGCCGTGTCTGTGCCTGCTGCCGCTGCTGACGAGGCAGCAGCAGCAGCAGGAGCAGCAGCAGAAGCAATCACGGAGGGTGCTGTAGCGGCCGGGTCCGATCTTCGTGGTGGCGCCGGGCTGGGTGCTCCTCACGCGGAGCGCCTTCCTGCCGCCCCTGAGAGCAACGCCGAGCCTCGACGGCGGGAACAGGGGACTACCGCCGCCACCATCACTCCCCCGACCTTCGACGATGCCACCGCCCGCGCACCGCTGACCCCGCTCGGGCGAGTGCTGTCGAAACTACCGGTGGACCCGTCGGTGGGCAAGATGCTGGCCCTGGGGGCGCTGTTCGGCGAGAGCGAGCACGTGTTGACGCTGGCGGCGGCACTCAGCACGCAGACACCCTTCGATACCAGGGCGGCGTCGGCGGCTTCTGGGGCGAACCCGGTAGCGGAGTTTGCGTCTCCCCACGGTGAGAACGAAGGGCGGCGTGGGATTGTCTCGTGAGTGCCGCTCATTGTGGTGTGGTTTGCCGTTGTCTGCCTATTGTTGTCAGACACTGCTGTACGCGGTCCGGTTGACTTTTGTTTTCGTCGGCTGTGTCGATCGAATGGTTGGGTTTCGTGGGTGCCATTCTTTGCGGTGTGACAGTTTTTTTTAATATTTTTGTCAGATTCTGCTGTGCGCGGTTTCTGTTGGCTTTTGTTTCGTCGGCTGTGTCGATCGAATGGTCGGGTACAGCATTGTAAAAGGGGACCGCCATGTAATTCTGAAGCGGAGGATTACAGCCACCCCAGTTGATGTGGGGCACCCAAGTCCTGCGGGATATTACGCTCCGCACTTAACCACACACCCCTTGCACTAGAGAAAACCGTACCGCGTGACAGTGTGGAGAACACCTTCATAAAGGTTGAAACTCCCCAACGTCTGTCGAGGACGAAACCCTCTTTACCACAATGGCGTCGACAAGAGATGTCAGGTGTCTGCTTTTGGTTGCAAAGGACACGGGTTCAAACCCGCTGCTCACCTAATTTTCTTTCGGAGTACGGAAAAAGAAAAACGGTGGGTGGGCCAAGAAACGATGCACTGTCTATCGAACTCGAAACTTCTGCAAATGCGTGGCGGAAGTGGCGCACCCGCAACACGCACAGAAGATTGTTGAAAAAAAGGTGGTTCTACTCGCCGCCTCGCCTGCCGGTCGGGTGCCGGTTACCCCAAGAAGACTTCTCTTGCCTAGCAAACAAGAAGAAGCCTCGAAAAAGGGGGGGGTAATGTGGAGAACATCTTCACAAAGGTTGAAACTCCCCAACGTCTGTCGAGAACGAAACCCTCTTTTCCACAACAGCACGTTTTGAGTTCCAAGCGAAGATCTACGCATCCATTGTATCGATCGTATCACACCGGTTACGTGACAGCTATCAATCACCAATCACCCCCGTCCACCAACTTTTTCGAACTCGACAATATCATTTCCTGGGCGTGGGTATCTGGACTCGCTCGCGGAACTTGAGCCCGTGTCATCGCATCGGCGGACAATACGACCCCATGCATCGCGGCTTGTAGGTTTAAAAGGGGCCCAGCATCCACAACCCCCCCCTCCACATTCACGCGACTCGCCGAATACCTCACGGTGCTTCGCGCTTGGCGATGTGAGAGCCCGGTCCGGTGAGAACCCGGCGTGCTCCGTCCCGGCTTTGTAGGAATGCGAGGCAATGGTCGAACGACTACGGCATGCACGCTTTACATCAGTACCCCCCTCCCCCCCCCCCCCCCCCCCCCCCCCCCCCCCCCCCCCCCCCCCCCCCCCCCCCCCCCCCCCCCCCCCCCCCCCCCCCCCCCCCCCCCCCCCCC